TGTGAAATATTCTGATGCAAACATAAACACATAATAAAACATAATCTTTGCAAAGCTTTACATTTTGTTCGATGACCAATAACATCTTTAAAAAAATTAATTACAATTAAAATAAATTTGTGGTGTATTGTAAGAATAAATACGTGCACTTTTGACTGAAATTTTAAAAAAATAAATTTAATCTTTTTTAACGTTGTATAGTATATCTTATACTTTATTGGATATTAGGAACAGGAATTTCATTTGAACTCCTATCGTCATCACTTTAAAATAAGTCAATTTAATTATAATTTAAATTTACCTTTTTTGCTGAGAACGTATGGCCTTCTGTATTTTTTCTGGTTAATACGTTATACTATTTTACAAATAAGAATTTCACATTAACTTCTAAATGTAGAAGTTAAAAAATGCTAATTTACGGATTACCTATTTATATAAGCTTTTAATAATTTTTAATAAGCATTTAATAAGCTCAATTCTGTATACGTATGTACATGCCATACACACGAGTAAAAAATAAAACTTAGGACTTTTCAAGGCTTGCCGAAAAACCTACATTGGGTTTTTAGTAGTCCAGGGTCACAAGTCACAGTTCCGGAAGCTAGAATCTAGGGGCTGTCAACAGCTAGGTCATTTCAGCCTCAAATGCAGTTTTTAAAACTACTCCACTTATAAATGCGTTCTTTTTTATTTATATAACATTCACACAATTAGGGTAGTATTCGATATCCTCCATCACTCATTACACGTACCTACTGTCTATAACTAGTCAATTTGGGACTCAATGGTGTATTCAATATTAGACCCTCTCAAAACAATCACACTAATAAATACATTCACTCTCAATATACACTCACAAAAACATAAGACGTGATAACTATCAAGTACTCAATCCTAATTTGTTGAGAATTCTGAAAAATCTAATTAGGATTAAAAGTAAAATATGTAAAAATATTAGCAGCCTAGTTTAAACAGTTTAAGAGTTTTATAAATCCTTGGATAGCAGGAAAAGGAGTTTCATATCAACTCCTTCCAACCTAGAGGAGATTGAGACAATAGAGTTTATTCGGTGAAACTGCCCTGCAATATCTAGGACAAGCTATGGTACTTACGAAAGCTATTGCTGAACAATGAAGAGTTTGTACCCTGAGAAAAATTCCGTTCTTTATTTAATAAACGAATATCTTTCCGGAAAGCAGAGTTCTGAATTATTAGATGATAGATTAAGAACTAAACAGTGATAGTTCTACAAAATCCAAAAAAGACTATCAACACAACTTAAAACAAAAATAACAATAATTGAAACAATTGGTTAAGGTGGATGAGAAATATAATTATAATTGAATAATTGAATTTAAATGTGTGAATTTTCAATGTGTTCAGCGTATTCGTTTACAACGCTATAAACTAAATTTTATAAACTCTAGGATTTAAACAAGTCTTCCCAATACAACCATAAAACAAATACTTTTCTAAAAGCACATAAATACAGGGTGTCCAAGTTCGTTCTGACGAAACTCAGGGAATCGATTCTACTCTTCGTTTGGAGCGAAAAATGCTCAGGAGAAAATTTTCGGAAAGCTCTCTATTTTGATTCGTCAATTTAGGATTTTTCAACTTTTCACTACCTTACCACATAAAATCGCTTACAACTTCCAAAATGTTGAGACTACAACAAATCCAATTACACCATTTGAAAGAACGCTAAATTTGCTGTAAGGTACTTCTATTTGCAATAATCTGAATGACATAAAATGTTAGCCAATGTCAGTTGGAACATGTCAAAATTACAAAATTTAAAATTTTGGTCATGATTGCACGTTCTACTGAGGTTACAAAAAAAATACCTACAACTTGTCAAATTTCACAAAAACGTCTTCATCTAATATGCTTTACGTTGATATATCCAGGTTTTTAAATAACGTTCTAGTAGAGTTGAAAAATAACCTAAATAAAATAAGAGTTGTAACCTCAGTAGAACGTGCAATCATGACCAAAATTTAAAATTTTGTAATTTTGACATGTTCCAACTGATATTGGCTAACATTTTATGTCATTCAGATTATTGTAAATGGAAGTTTCTTACAGCAAATTTAGCGTTCGTTGTAGTCTCAACATTTTGGAAGTTGTAAGCGTTTTTATGTGGTAAGGTAGTGAAAAGTTGAAAAAACCTAAATTGACGAATATCTTCAAAAAAGAGAACTTTCCGAAAATTTTCTCCTGAGCATTTTTTGCTCCAAACGAAGAGTAGAATCGATTCCCTGAGTTTCGTCAGAAGGAACTGGGACACCCTGTATAAGGATTATTGGTTTTGGTCCAGTCCTATTCGATGAGTGTAAATATCTTTGACTCAAATTGAATAACTAGAGTCAAAATTAGTTCATACGATGTCCAGTAGTGTTAATTGTGTTATTCCAACAAAATAAGATTCAACAAAGTATTAAAATGTTTATACGTGCATATATATACTCACAGACAAACACATCGACTATAGTATTTTGTTGTTTATTTCAGGCTGTATGTACTTTTATCGTTCTATTAATTACGACATACTTATTTTAATATAAACCAAATTAAACGAGATCAGTAAAATTTACGAGTTTTAAGTAAAATCAACAAAAAGAAAAAATTTAAATTATTTAGATGTAATGGTTAGAAAGAAAATTCACCAAAACCATGGAAAATAATTTAATGATAGAATAAATTTAACTAATGATTTAATACATAGTTTTCCTACGAAGTTTTAGTTTGCTTGATAATATATATTTTTTACTTTATAATATACAATAAAATATTGTTTATTTAAAAAAATACCATTCAAGTTTCAAAGAAAAAATTAAAATTATTTAGTTGTAATGGTTAGAAAGAAAATTCACCAAAACCCTGGAAAATAATTTAATGATAGAATAAATTTAACTAATGCTGTAATACATAGTTTTTGCTCTCAATAACACATTAAGAATAAATTGATCCAAAAGTAAAAAGTTAGTGTATATGCATATGTTTGCTGTTAACTTGTAAACTGAAAACTTTTCAAAATCATTTGTGTTACCAATTTTATTGAATTTTCGTAAAGTTATACCAAAATGATGTTTTCAATTTTTAAATTATAAAATTATTCCTTAACGTTCTTTGTAAATATCCTAAAACAATTCTTACCTTAATATTAATATAAAATCAGAATGTACTTTAGTTAGACACTATGTGAAAAGACATTTTCTAAGATGAAGCATGTATAATTCCAATACAAGTCTTTATTAACTGATGATCATTTGAGAGCAACAATTTGTTTTAAGTATGATGAACATGCTAATAAATATAATGAAAGTAGGAATACCACCTCGAAATAAAAAAAAATATTTTGCTTTATGATATATATTGTTTTACTTTATAATATATAATGAAATATTGCTTTTTTTTAAATACCTACTAAAGTTTCAACCTGGCTCACCAAACCCGATTTGGTTTACGGTTTCTTACCTTTTCTAACAAAGTTTGCCGAATTGCCCAATTACAACTCTGCAAAATTTTTGATACAATGTCATGACCACAGAGAAAGAAATCATAATTGGTTGAGAATAACCTAAATAAAATAAAATAATTGGACAGTGTGTAAGTGTTTTTATAAATCAGCTTCATCCTTAAACAATAAACGAAGTATGCTTTATGATTACTTTAATGTAGAAAATATGAATTTCATTCCAACCTCAGAATTCAAACATTCATACCAATAAAACATTAAAAAATCTGTGTTGTACTCGTTAACTGCACTATTAATAATATTTATAATAATCAGCTTTCTTTTTCTTGTTTCTTTTAACTGGAAATGCAGTTCGAGTCACGTTGCAGAGTCTCCTCAGCATATTTAAAAACCTCTCGAATGTGACTTTAGAATAAAAGGAATAGAGAAAAATATGCTTTCTTACTTCAAATAAGACCTCACACAATTTACAATTTGATGTAAATTTTTCAAAAGCCGATTAGAATTAAATAATTGGATTAGTTGGAATTTACAATATTTATTTTGAATTATGACAAATCCAATTGGAATTAAATAATTCGACTTATGTGATTATGTTTTTATCTTTATTTGATCATTGAGAATGGATATTACGTATTAATAATTTCTTGGAGGTAGCAAATAAGAGTTTCAGTTCCTATGAATAAAATTTAAACAACTAATTTTATAGTTTTCTGTAAATGTTATTTTTATTTCAAATCACTAGATCTCTAACAGAATTAACTTTATTGGAATTAGGATTAAATAATTAGACTTATGTGTCGTAGTTTTGTTATCAGACTAATCGGTCACAGAGCTATAAATGGAAATGTACAAATTGTTGGATTTAAAAAAAAAGTTATTTCAGCGCCTAACAATTTTTATATTAATTTAATAATTTTTGGTTTTTCAATTTTTGTCTATTAAGTTTTATCGGCATGATCGAATAAAAATGTTTTTCTCGAATTTTAATATCAGGTACATTGTGCGTTTTTTAGATGACTAAACTTACACCGAAGATGGTGAAATGCCGAAACTCGTCTGAATTAACAAAAATCAGCGAGGATAGGCAGACCATGATGACAGGTAACTAAAAAACAATAGGTTTATTAACCCCCAGACCGCAGGAGGAAATCTCACAATTGTCCGGTTTGACTCGTTCGGACAATGAGACACTGCGGAAATTTTAAACGAAAGATATATGTGATAAGAAGAAAACACCATTTCATTTCTGTGCAAGCGTAAAATAGGAAATATATTAAACATTTTCTTAGCAGTAAATATTGCAAATTTTCAGTCATAAGGATAATTGGTAATAATATTTTGGAAAGTATAATTTTAAATAAAACAGTGTTACTGATAATCAAAATAAATTTAAAATATTTTTTTTTTCAAGCCAGCCACGATATCTTTAACAGTAAAATTATTTATTTTGCAAAGCTGTTTCTCCCTGAAGCGTCTCTTCTGGAGAGAAATGATACGTTGTGTTGTTGCCTCTTACCTGATTTGGTTCCGGTGGCACATCGCACTTGGCTGTCGGTCCTTTTCTGCCAGTTTCATATGGGAGCACATACCCCGAGTGTAACAGGTGGGGTGGGGGCGAGCCGACAGGCGCATCGATGTCCTTCCACTCCTTCGGCTGTGCCCTTCTCAAGGACTCGTTTGCTCTGGAAATGCTACGATGAAGAACGCGATGAAGAAATTGTCTTCGATGTTGCAGAAATGACAAAGACACGTTTTCCATTTTAGGAAAGTTGAGTTTTGGAACTAAACAAAATTCAAGCACGGATAGGCATCGATTTGGAAGCCAATGTTCCAAAAGATTGCTTATTTCTATTAAGCTTAATCAATACGTTTGTAAAACAAAAACTTGTTGTCCCCATGGTAAGGCATCTTTTACAGCCGAAGAATATTTCCTTATGCAGTGAAATCAATTCCAAGGGACAATCATGGTGTTACTACATTTGTCATCTTTCTGTAGGTGTCCTCTAAAGAGAGACTTTTATCATATGATAACACACAACAACTTAGTAGTCTTTATATGTAGATATGCAGATGGTAATTTAGATTTAGATTTTAATGGCTTTACGATCTTTTAAAATTTTCTCTCCTAGAGTTTTGCTAAACTTGAATTTAGCAGTTAATGTTCTTACATTATTTCTCCTAACCTTTCCTAATAATTATGCCCATCTATTCTTTCTTTTAAATTTAATCAGCGGGTTGAAATAAATAATAAACACTAAAAATTGGGGACCGCGGTAGCCGAGTGGTTAGCATGAGAGACTCTCACGCCGCGGTCGTGGGTTCGATTCCCACCGTCGCCTCTGGCCCTTTTTTCCCGATAACCCCCAATTTGAACAGCATATATAAGAATTCGTCATGGCTAATATGCAAAGATCATAAGGCAAAAAAAAAAAAAAAACTACAAATTTAGAACTTAAGTGAAATCACTTAAAACAACATTGGAAATGATGATTTGATGATTTGATTAAGGGGTGATGATTAAGCAGTTAACAAAACACTCCAATCCTATTACTCAATAATTTTAAACATAATTAGAAGTTGTTTTAACACTCGGAGATCGTTTATGCTATCTAAAAAAAAGAAACACTGATCTGGCTCACAGACTTTCTGTACTGTTACCGTCTGTAAAATGTATTAGTCATACCTCATGATTGAATTAATTATGATTAAATCATATAATGATTAATTTACTCATGAATAATTCAACCATGATCAAACTTCAATCAAAATTCTTAATCATGATTGAATTAGTTAGATTTTGCCCAACTCTGACTGGTTGTTACTGGTGTGGGATCTTTAATTTTGGAAAAAAGTGGGTGAATTGTTTTATAGTTTTTAAAGGCTATTTTAAAATTATCAGATGAGAGAAATGTGTTTAATTTGTGATAGGCCGTGAATGAATGGCATGGATATGTATATTGGTGTGTCTGTATTTGATAGAATGGCTGTAGTTTTATAGTAATAGTAAATGGTGTTAGTGTTAAGTTGAAGTTGCTGAATATTCTGTTGATTATGTGTTTAGGGTAATGATTGTTATGGAGGATATGTTTGTATATCCTTATGTTCTTGTAGTGAAATGATTCATGGCTTAGGTTAGTAATTCTGTGATGTAGCCCTTTGGCCGTGTTTGATATTGCATGAAGTGGATGGTGTGATGTAAAGTCGAGGTAGCGACTTGCGTTTCTTGGTTTTTGATACCAACCTGTGATTAATGTGCCATCTGGTTGTTTTATTACGAGTGTATCTAAAAATGGTATTTTTGTTGTTTTCGATTTTATGTGTAAATTTTAGATTTTTTGCAAATCATTCATATGTTGTTTTACGAACTCTCTTATTTATGTGTATTGAACATTGTTTTCTGAAATTATTTAAAGAATAATAATGAAAAATGATTATTAATAAATGTGTGAAGTTAAAAGTGTTTGAAACATAGGGTTTTTTTCCCATCCACCGCCCCGCCGTACCTGAGGGAGACCCCATACCGGCGGACCTCGGCCACTAGACTGACTTATTTTCTTGTATGGGGGAAAATGGAAGCATAACGCCTTCCTTATGCCTCGCTCTAAACGAGGGGCACGAGGAAGGTTAGGGGTATATAAATTTTTCCTCTCTGTATTACTTAAATTGACCTAATCTAATAGGTCTCGTCCTTGCTGGTTACTCCTTTTCGCACAGTAATATCATACAATCATTACATAAAATTTCAAAATTAAAATTATAAAAACTATATAAAATTACAAAACAATATAAATATACTAATTTTAGCAATAAAGAACAATCACAGTTTTAGGTACTATATAACAATGTTAACTTATTTTTAAAGAAGTAACCAGCCCGGAATTATCTGTACTAAGGTTACACACTTAAATATATCACAGTTTAATCACAGGTGGTTTAGAAAGTTTTTTTTTCAGGTACTTGGTTTACTACCCGCTAGGATGCTCTGTGTAAGCTGTTTGAACACATGATACGTTTGCTCGCTTTTCACAAGTTCCTTCAATTCTGGAGGCCATATATTCTGAAAACTGTTCCGCAGGTCCTGACGAAGTTGTACAAAGCTTGGGCAGAAGAATAGCTTGTGTCGTACGTCTTCACGAACATTGCATAACAGACAGTTTGGGGTATTAACTCTCTTGAATTTGTGCAGATAAACTGCAAAATTTCCATGCCCCGTAAGCATTTGTGTGGACCGAAAATCTGGTTGCACCCAAATCTGCTTTTTTCTTTCTTTAATGATGGGAAAGAACTCATAAGTAAGCCTGCCCTTGATACTACTTTCCCATCTGCTTTGCCAGGTGTCGGTACCCATTCGTTCAGAAAAGTTTGGCGCTGGCTGTTGGGTGCATTTCTTAACCAATTCGCTTCATGTTCCTCTAAGCCGGGTAGTCTTGGTAGCAATCCCTTCTTCAGCTCTCTCTTTGCATTAAGTCAATAGGTGTTGCTATCATTAACACTTGGAGAGCGTGAGTGGAAGCCGTTCTGTACCCCTTCGATGTCCTCAGTAAAGCAATTCGCTGGGTTTGTTCTATTACCTGTTTGGTTTTACCTTGCAGTTTTCTTCCCCGTTGCTATAGGGATATATACGCTCTTATAGATAGTTGAAAGTGCCTTTGAGCTGTGCCCCCATGTTGATTTGGCTATCCTGCTTAATTTTGCAAAGGTACAGCGTGTGGATTCCCGGATTTTTAGAGCGTGTGGAAAAGAATTCAATCTCTCTCCTATAACAACGCCAACGTATTTGACTTCATGGCTTGGTTTGATGTTATTACCGTCTATTTTCACTCTAAGGGGGTGCCCATTGTCCCTTTCAATACGAGTATTTCACATTTGTCAGGAGCTACCTTTAGGTTTTTTGTTTGTTACCAGGTATTGACTATAAATGAAACATAGGGTTCAAATAATGTCATTCTTTTAAGTAACAAACATTTTATTATACTATAACTATAGCCTCTATTAATCTTAACTGTATATTATTTAAAAATAATTTACACAATAATTATTTATTCCCAAGAAAAATATACAAAATATACACATGGAAGACTGTAATAGTGTTGTTAAGGCACTTTTGTAAAGCTATCAGTCATTTGAAAACAAAATCTAGTTTTTATACGAAAGAATAATACATGAGATCTATTCGTACATGAGGTGCTACACGATTACAAACAGCCAAAGGGTTTACATCTCACCATTCTTTTCACACAATAATAAACATGGCCATAGTGTTTATTATTGTGAAAAGAATGGTGGGGTGTAAAGTTGAGATAGTGATCTGTGTTTCTTGTTTTTGATACCAATCTGTGATTAATGTGCTATCTGGTGTTTCTAAAAATTGTATTGTTTTGTTGTTTTCGATTTCATGTGTGAATTGAAAGCGTGGGTGAAAGCTGTTAAATGTATTTGATGTAGTTTGAATTTGATCTGTGGGAACTGCTGTAAACATATCATCTACGTATTAGGGAGGAAGGGTAATGTGAAAGGAAGTTGTGGTATGTGTTTAATAGATGTGTCATAATTATATCTGCTAGCATCGGACCTAGGCTGCTGCCCATGCCTATGCCAAATAGTTGTTTGTAAAATTGAAGATGATCTCAATAAAGACCGAAACGTTGGCACGATAAAGAAAATGTTTTTCTAAAACCTACGTCACACCAGACCGCATCTCACGATCTCCAAATAATTATCATGAAAATGTTTACGTCATAACATGGTTGTAATCGTAAATCTTAAATAAACGTTTAAAAAATAAATAAAATGTCAGAAATGGCAATAAAAACAACTATCATGGATTTATTGTTGCCTCTGTCCTAAAATTTATTAGAAAAAGATAAGGGTAACAAACCTCATTTTTGATCAAATACGTAAACCTTTCATTGTTTTATCAACTTTTCAATGCAAACTTCATTCACTATGTTTCTATTTTATCAACTTTTCAATGCAAACTTCATTCACTATGTTTCTACACCTAACAGTGGTTATTTTTTTATATATTTTTTTACGAGGGTTCGCAACAGCAAAGGTTATATCAACCCTCGGGGTGCCAGTGTTTTTTAAAAAAAAGCACATTTGTAAGTATGTAGGATTCGAATGCACAGCTACTGGATTCGAACCCGGGATCTTTACTTTACAGTGATGAGCGCCGTGTCAACGCCTAAACCGTTGCGGCCACCGACGCCCCCGACTATGGTTATTTAATCTGGTTACCTGAATCTTTAACGAAACTATTAAGCCAAGTTTTTGTTAAATATTTAATCAATTGTTTAAAAAATTGTGTAGGAAGTGTAAAATATTTGTGTTAAGTGTAGAATCAAACACTTCTTTATTATTCGTCATAAGAAAAAAAAACTAAATCGATTTTTTAATTAACTTCGAATCTTATCGATCAGATGAAAAATGAAATAAAATTGTTCCTGCAAGGAGCTTTGAAGTAGGAGAACCTTTCAATCGCTAGGGAGGTCGAACGTTTGTCTGGAAAATTGCTAGGTCCGACAAAATAACTTATCTGACTTCGACGTCAGAGGGAGAACACTATTGTCCGAATACATCTGGGACAATCTTG